ATTATCGTATCATTATTTTCATCCTTCATTAGGCTAAGTACTTTTTTATTCATGAGAGGCATCCCATACGCATTGTCCGGCGAATAATCGTATCGAATCTAGCGATATCGCGTTTCATCGTCTCGTACACGTCATCGCATTCGATGTGATATATGAGACTATACATGTCGGTGTACATGATCTTACATTTGTCGCCATACAGCGGTGACATGTACTCGTGGTGAAATTCATACAAGCAGATTTTCAATATATTGAATATACACATACCCACATAAATAGATTTGTCGAATTTCACCTCGAGTTTATGCAGTTTGACGGCGATTAAGTTTTTTACAAAGATGCTGCGGCTGTAGAAATTTGGTTTCGCGATCATTGCCTCCGCACCATACCGTTCATCCCATTTTGTTAATTTTACTTCCACGTGATTCCGAACATTTTCCATTGTTTTACCGAATAGCGCGTTGTTCATCAATTTGTACAAATTTTTCTCAAAATCGTTTTTCGCATTCTAAAATATTTATTGAGTTCAATGTAATCGCGGAGACAGGCGGATTAAGCAAATTATAGTACGCGATATATCTTTGCAATACGAAGATCATGGCATACGAAAACCATGCATATATTGTTGCAGGTTGCGATAGTGGATGATGTACCGCTTCTTGTCATATAACGTCGCGAGAAGTTTATCCTGCCGCGTACAGGATGGTTTATTCTCGTCGGACAAAAAGGTAGGTTAATGTGTTGATCGTGCAGATGATACTCGAGATCAGTCTCGAGAATATAACTCGTAGGCGAATCCGGAGCGATCACGCTCGCGTCAAAGTTCGCAATGTCTTCAACCCATCAAAATTCGGCATAGGGCAGCGATTGACACATCGCCCATCCGTACAGATTGTTCACGTCGTAGTATATCTCAACACGATGACGGTTTCGACGGGTCGTACGAACGCATGTATTTGTTATTGGCCTGCGCATATCTGCCGGAACATTGACTGAGGCCACCGCGTATACCGCGCTCTATAAACATAACCATATCGATATTGGTGAGCAACTCAAATTTTACGCGTATGTTACAGCATGGTGTCCCATGTGAAACCTGGCTATGTGTAGTAATGAACGGGATCAAGACTATAACTTTCGATAGAATTTTCGCGGAAATTTTCAAAAACGTCGATCAATAACAAGACATCGGTTTTTAAATACAGATCGCTGTACCCGTCTAGGGTTTCAATAGACAATCGCTGCCAGACGTTCGCGGCGCATAATCGTTCTCCGATACCGTATCATCGGTCAATGAGCTATAGAATGATTCGCGTGATAATAGGCGCATGTCCTGCAGCTTATCTGCGCGATCCATGTATTCGTAGGGAAAGACCTTTACGCGTCAACAAATCAAAATCTTCGTTTGATAATGGAAAATTCGGAACGTAAAATTTTCAATTTTTCTTTCGTTAGAAAAAATTCCAATTTATAATGCTGGTATTTAAAAATTTGTATGAATCGATAAACCGCGGTTGTACGCAATTTCGTGAATTTAATTTCTCGGCGTTAATTTATCTTTAACGTGTTTTGTAAAAATGTATTTTTCTTTTATTATCGGCAGCATGTTGATCCTCCGAATGCCCTAGCTATTTCTATGATGACAAAGTGCGCGTCATAACCGGATAAGTTGTGAAATACTATGGGAATGCAATATGAATCTTTATAATTTAGTTTACAATTTGAATGCGCGAGACCACGGTAATGATCAGTAAGGTGGTAAGGTGGTCGCGTACCCGCGTGTCATCGGACGCAAATAATTTTTCACAAATGTGACAACGCGTCGCGCTACGATGCCTCCCATTGTTCTCTCGCCAACGTTTCCATAGGGACATTGCAGATAACAAAATTTTTACTCGAGTGTTTATGCGAGTTGCTGAACGAACCATGTAACGCAATCTTCGCCGCGACGAAATCGATACGCTGATAACGCGTCGTCGTACGAGCATCGCACGCACGTAGTATCTGATGCTAAATACCTCGTGCTATTGATAGGTGTACGATGCGTCTTTCTTCTCTGCCGGTTTCGTTCGTGCGCCGTAGTGCGCACTCCAAGTCCGCGTATACGACGAAAGGAAGTCGTTCCTTATTTGTGTGTTCTTGAATGCGAGCCATTTGTCGTCCTCGCTCGGCAGTCAGATGGCGCAATCGTTCACAATCCACCGTATGCGATTGCAATTTCTCGGATGAATTAAAATAATATAGACATATGGAAAAAAAGGAAAACATGACTTTTTAATATTTAATAAATATTTATAAAAATATTATAAAATTTTTTTGTTAGAATGTGTATACATACCGATCGCAAAAGTATTTCTTGTGTCCTTTTTTGTTTATTTGCGAGCTCACAAGGCAGATTTTTGATGTACGTTTTGATGAAGTGTTACGGGTTTTGATGAAGTGTTCCGCGTTGTCGTCGCGCGGATCCTGCACGTACAATAGATTTGCATGTTTCTCCATCTTCTTATCTGTCAACCATATCGGGAGTATCTCTTTTTCCCCCTCGAAGTTGTAGACGATGATTGAGATGTTCGAACTTTTTAATTTGATTCAACGTCATCAGAAACGTAATGTCTTGGAGATTTAACACTGTCATATAATACGGGTACGACAATTCCCGATCCCTATGCTTTTCGGTCGTATGCAAGACGCGACCATCGACCACGCGAAACACGCATTATCCTTGGATCATATGTTGATCACCGCTCGCTTTAACATAATTTTCCGCGGTTCGATGTAACATCCCGTGTGTAGAGGATTATATTTGTTTATGTTTGCTGTAAGATTGAGAATTCGCGATAGCGTCCATCCATTGTCGCGTTCTTGAAACTCTTCGAGCGATATAAACGTGGGTTCGATGACGTGCCGCTCGTACCACTCGTCCAAATTTGATACTCGAAAAACCTACTGTGATCCCGCGCGCTCAATGACCTATTATATATCATCTGCAGTTTTCTTTGTCCCTCTGTCTAAACCGAAGCATCGTCATACGTTTGCAAGTCGAGTCGCAATTTGTTTATCTATTTGTTTATAGCAGCCGAATTATCAGCACTTCTCTTAATATGCCACGACACATACAGTCGTCAATGCTACTTCTTTGTCTAAATCGGAGCGTCGTCGTCGTCATCATCGTCGTCGTCGTCGTCGGTCTTCCGAATTGCAATTTGTTTATAGCAGCCGAAATATCGATGCTTTTCTCTTAACACGTCGCGATACGTACATCGATTTCCACGAAAGCCATCTTATCGCGGCTTTTTCCTGGAAAATTTAAACACGCGAGCCTTTTTAACAAACATGTCGCTACATGTTTGATCACAATAAAATTCCTAGAAAAAGAGGGAGAGGGAGGAGGAGGGAGAGGGATTAACGTTACCTTAACATTTGCTATGTCAAAATTTATGCGAATCAATCCTCCATCGAACAATCTGCATGAAAAGTACTCCGCTCCTCCATCATTCGTTTCAAGACGCAACTTCGCCAAAAGAAGCAGCGCACCGTACGATGGTGAAACAAAAAAGGAACGTAACGCGTAAGTTTCAACTGCATTTTATTTCTTTCTCTTTTTTTCCAATATTGTGCAATATTATATATTTAATTTCCACAGCATTTTGGTGGAGCGTCGCGCGATGCGCCTATTGAGTAGATGTTACTCTGATGGCCACGGGCTACAAATTTTTGGAAATTGGAATCAACGTTGGTCCTCCGAGCTACGTGGAGCTCGCTCTGGGAAATCATCGGGGACAGGAATTGATACTGTCTTTTGAAACGTGGAAGGGACTCTACGAGCAGTGATAGAATATCTATAAATTGCTGCAAAACGATTACAAAGACAATTTTATAAGCGGATCGTTAATCATTAGAGTTTGCTTGATGAACGATGTTACACTCGTACATCTTGAATCTTTGAACGTACGTATAACGATGCTCGAATCTACGCCGAATGTTTAATTTTTCCAAACTGGATGAATGTATCGATATGACGTTCGATCGACTCGTCAGATTCGTCATCGATGTCAAGTATACGCGATTCTCCAACATCGCGTCTGTTGTAATAGATCCCGAGGAAGTACCAAATACGATATGCGATTGCGATATCTTCAATAGACGTCAACTCGTCGATTGCGAGCTGTTAGCTTTAGTTTTTAGTGTGTAAGAAAAAAATGTGAATAAAAAAAGTTTCACGCTTAAATGAAAAATGTGTTTTGTTTAAAAAATAAAGATATATAATATGCAAAAAACATGTATTTCTTTCATTCCTTTCCTCTCGCCATAAAAATAATTAGTCGGAAAAAAAATAGTCATAAGATTCGTAATAAGAGAGAGCCGCAATGAGAGAGATAGTAAGTATACGAAAGAGAGATAATAGATATACAATAGAGACAGCGCAACGAAAAGAGAAGATGAGAGTATGGCGGGCGGGGCGGGGTGATGGCGGCGATGGCGGCAGCGGCAGCGGCCTGACCCCCCCCCCCCTCTGACATCATATCCACGCGCCCTGTCCACGCGCAATTTCTTTATATCATCTTCGCCACCTGTTTATCTATTTGTTTACCTATTTGTGTACCTATTTGTTTATCTACTTGTTTATATATTTGTTTATTTATTTGTTTATATCATCTTCGCCTTTGTAGCTATTATCTTATCTATCCCTCCCTCCCTCGTGACGTCATGTCCTTCGAGTCGCAATTTTCTTTATATCAAATTTATTTATCTATTTGTTTTTATAACTACCGGAGCATATTATGCCACCCTCGGCTTATTTCAAAGGACCCCTCCCCCCCCCGACGTTATGTCCTTCGAGTCGCTAATTTTTATTTGTTTATCTTACTTGTTTACC